AAAATGTACAACCCATGTTTTATAAATATATATAATAGTATATCTGCCCGAGTATACCCAAATTGAGCCGTAGAGCAAAAAGAATCTAACGTTAATGTGTCATTGAGCGCCTCGTCAAAAGCTCCTCACGCGAGAGGAAGCAAAAAGTTGTCTCGCGAACGATATACGCGCTGGCAGAGCTGCGAGTTGTACGTATATACATACGGGTAGAATGCGCGAGCGTTAAAATTTCATCAGTGCGGCGAAATGTGGTGGAGGCAAAAACGGGGGCATCGCCAACAAATAATCTCAGCCATCCGGTGTTGGGTACCGGACGGATTTCGGGGGAAAACGAGCGAGGGAAAAAAAAAGGTGGTGGCCGAAAATTCGCGAGCATCGATGTATCCCGGGCCGGTGTAAATTTTTCATAAGCTCCGGCGAAAAGCTCCCGAGACGAAGCGCGTCGTGCACACCTCGGTATAAGCAAAAAACGCGTGCAGCGGGGTTTGGGGCAGACAAGGGAATGAAAAATAAAGGGGGAAAGAGGAAAAAAAAAAAATGGGTATAGGAGGGAAGGATCGACGCACGCATGCAGCCAAAAAGTCGAAAGCTCGCCCACAGCTGTGTAGAACGGGGGCAGACCCTCTCTCACCATAGCGAACGGGATGTAAAGAAAGAAGGGAAGAAAGAGAGCGACGAACGAGCTGGCTGGTGAGGAGGTGGGTGGCGGGGGTTGCTCGTCGCGTTCCTCCGGTCAATGTCTTCCTCCCTTCTATATCTCTCTCTCTCTCTGTCCTCCTTCTCTTCTTCTTCTTCTTCTTTCAGCTCGTGCGGCAGCCGGCTCGCCTTTTTTCTCTCTTTCGCTCGAGTCCCCCCGCCTCGCGCGGAGGCTCGATATCATCACTCCTCTCCCCCCCCTCCTTTCCGGCGACTACGTACATATACAGATATGCCGAGGAGTATAGCTGGAGGCTGCCTATGCTCTACTCCCCGCCTTCTCTTTTATTCGAGAGACGTTGGCTGCCCCTGCCAGCAGCACACCACAACCCTCTCTCTCTCTCTCTCTTTCTCCTCGTATATACATATACTTATCAGGCTGTGGTGTGCAAGAGGGAGAGAATCGCGCGCACACACACCTCGTCCGCGAGCTGAGAGCCGGCTAGCAAGCACCGCTCCTCCTCTTCCGTAGGACTACTCCACGTACTACCTCGGTCTACCTCGTGTGTGCGGTTGCTGCTGCTGCTGCTGCTGCTGTAGTTGCTCTCTGCTCTCGACACGCGCGTTACATCCTCTTCCTTTTTTTTTTTTTTTTTTTTTTTTTTCTCCTTGGAATCGCGGTCTTTTTTCATTCTTTTTCGCGACATAGAGACGTCCCCTCGAAGGACTCTTCGACGACGCGGCGGCTGCAGTGCCGGTACGGACCACGATACTTGCATAGCGTGCGGTGGCTCCATTGGAAGCCATACACCCACGATCATTACCACTGACTCCTTTTTTTTTTTTTTTTTTTTTTTTATGTGTTTCAAAGAGAACTTTTGGTGTGTGAGCATGGCGTGTACCGTGCAGTTTGACGATTTTAGACGAAGGAAAGGTGATTGTCGCGGTTGTGCCGTTGGTGACGACGATGCGAGCACACCGGAAGAACGCCGTCTCGTGCGAAACGAAGCGAAACAACGTCGTCCCAGTGCAGTTCTTTCATTCGCTTGTTAGGTGTACGATAATATATTTATGTGCTGTGGTTCAAGTGCAGGGCAAAAGTGAGTGTGTTTTGTTGGGAGCTGCACGTTTATACGCACGCGGGTGCGATCGTGGTACAAGTTTTGTCAAGTGCACCTGCATAAAAAAATTCGTGAGTTTTATTAACTTTTGCAAAGCATTTTTACCGATCCACTTTGTATACTTTTATCGTGCCAAAAAAAGAGCAACATTATCTCATCGTCATAGTACAAGTTTAATCCACCGCAATGCGAACACAAAAAAAAAGCGTCTGTCTGTCGGTCCGTGTGACGTATACCTCCCGATACCGTGAGTGTGAGCTTTGAAAGTAATTATTTCCCTTAATTTACGTTTAAATATAATAGGGGGTATATATATATATATATATATACAATAATAAATAAACGGCCGGTTACTTGCCAATGATGAATATTTGCCGCTCGTGGAGCTTAATACCGTATAAAAACTCGACGGGAAACGAATGTGTTGTACGCACCACGTTACAAGTACATGCATATATAAATATATCGGCGCGTGCAGCGTTGTACACGCGTTTGGTTCGATGATTTGCATATTGAATACATTTGTGTTTGCTGGTTACAAAAAAATAAACAAAACAAAAAAGAAATGAAACGACGATGATGCGCCGGATAAGCAAGTGGTTCAAAGTGTAAATTATCGTCGATGATGGTCCGTTCGCTTCGTTTAATGTACCATTTTTCGTTTTAACCCATAGAAGGAACGAAACGGCAACAACAAAAAAATTGAGCACACGTCAAACCGTCAACCGGCCCCATTCCCCCGTGACTTTTCGCTTGATAACCCGCGCTGCGCATACCTGTGTGTGTGTGTGTTCAACGCACGCGCTCGGCGGGGATCTCTGTCTTTCTTTAATTTTCTTGATCTTTTTTTTTTTTTTTTTTTTTTTTACTTTGCTGCTCTTCCCCCCGCTGGGCATACAAAGCACACGCACGTTGTAATGTATTATATACGCACACGCGACCTCCCTGAAGACGAAACACGAGGGGCGAGTTGCCGATGGTTCCTCCTCCTCTTCTCTCTCATCTCTCGCTGCGGATGCTGCATAGAAACGCGTGTTGTTCGGCGTTTTGCTACCTTTATTTTTTGTTTTTTGTTTTTTTGTCCCACTCTCGTATATACACACACATGCGTATTGTTCTTTGAATTTCTTGGCCCCCGATTGTAATGGAGATTTTATGCCGCTGCGGTAGCGATGCCGACGACTGCCGCTTCCTTTTCTACCCCTGCCCCCCCTTTTTTTTCCCTGTGTACCTTTTTATATACACGGCAGCTCGGCTCGATGGTATACATACAGTGGATGGATGAGATGAGGCGAGGGGCCCGACGGGGATTTGGTAAAAAATCGAAACACGTTTCGGAGAAACAAGGTGCGCTCGCCCGGTGTCGACTTGACGTGGTGGCTGCGGTTTGTGTACACACCCGAGTGTTATTATTCACTTATCGACACGTTTGAAAATTGCAATAGCAATAAACAAGCGATTATTCGTCAAGTTCCAACAAATTGAACAATTTTGGAATTGATTGATAATCATTTAATTTGTAAAACTGCAGTCTATCATATATTATATACGCCAACTGTTGAAACACTAATTTGATGGCTTCTAAGTAGACTCACTACACGGCAATGGGCTTTATGAAACGTATTTTAATAATCACTAGCTGTTGAGGTGTCATTGTAACACATAACTCTGCTTTAGCTGTACTGATAATAAAATAAATTATGTATACTCAAACGAGAAAACATTGATAATACGCATAATATTATATATACACTTATCCAATCGATAATAAAGAAAAAACCAATTTCGCGTGTCCCCGTCACGCTCGTTAATCTTTTAAAAATATCGTTCGTGTGCATTTTTCAGCACATCGATAGGCCATCGGCAGCGTAACCGCTACGAATTTCCGGACAAAAGTCTCGGAGCCAACTTCACGTCGAGCAAATTGTGTAATCCGTTTAATTTGCACCGCGTTGTAGTAATATGCGGGTCGAACGATGCACGCAACCACGATAACGAGATTAGTATTTTCATATTATGTACATGCTGTCGAGGGCCCGCGTTCGCACGCGTTATCTCTCGTCTCACGGAAGCTGAAGCGATACACAATGTACGCGCAATCAGCCACTTGTGACAATAATATGTTGTATGTGTATACACGCGGCGCTTGTTTTTAAGTATTATTGCTTTATATTTCCTCGGCCCGCGCGTTACTAAAATCGTCGACTGCGGAAGTATGCGCGCGAGCGCGCGGGTGTCTTAATCCAGTTTAAATTTGTCGCTGTTGTGCAACAGCAAACGAGTGCAGGCGTGTAATGGCACGCCGAGCTAGACTAATTGCGGCTCATTAGCGGCTTGAGGCTGGAAATAAAACGTCCCCCAAATGAGCTCTCTGGGCGCGTCGAGTGAAAGGTTTCTTCTTTTTTTTTTTTTTTTTTTACGTGCCCCTCCTCAAAGCCTGGAGGTTGGTGGATTTTTCGTGTCAGCAGACCACACGAGTGTCCCGAGATCGTTCTCGGACTCGCGAGGGGCAAAAAATGTTTTATATACCTTTAGGTATTGGTACTCCTAAAATTGAAAAATTAAACATTAGCTCCATGCTGAAATACCCTACATTCTATAATTCTATAATAAAAAAAAAAGCATCTTAGATCTCAAAGAAATAAAAACTATACATTTTTAATGTGTATTTACATAAAAAATGTGATGATGCACGAAGCGTGTACGTAATAAAGGTACTTTTGTTTACACACCCCATATACTGCAGTATATATAGTAAATAAGTGTACACCCGAGTGCAAGTTGCTGCTGATGTGTACAATTCATTTTTTTTTCACAGGCCACAAAAGGATAGGGTATCCCATTACCCAACCGGACGAGGAGTTTGGTTTCAAAAACTCCGGTATTATTTTTAATGATATAAACGCGAGTATCTGGCACTTAATGGCACCTACATTACACGTATCGCGTATCAAACGCCATCGCGTTAAATTCCACGGATGCCCATACTTTCATCGTCCGCTGTGGGGAGGGGGGGGGCAAAAAAAGGCACCGGCCATGATCAAGATAAGACTGGTTTAACTCTTGCAGCAGCCAATCTCCTCGCCCGTATAAATTAGCAATAACAAATTTTCAACGAGCATATATCATATACATGTATCAAAGAAAATTAATAAACATAAACGATGTAACGCAAAAGCTGAAAAGCCATTAATATCTAACCACACGTTTCATTTTTTTTTGTTTTTTTTGCTTTTGTTTCAGAGCGCGATAAAATTAGCCGGCAAAAATAACTTCAAGAAGCTGCACTCGCTACTGTCGCTGGCGGACGAGAAGCCAAAGGTGGACACCGGACAGAATAACCGGCATAACGAGCACCGCATTAAGAACCACTTTAAGCACAACCATTACGGCACGCATAATTCCATACTGACACCCTCGACGCTCAACCAGGTAATTTTGCATCTCCTCTCTCTCTCTCTCTCACGTTCGCCTCATCTTCTCCTCCTCCTCCTTTTCTCTATTAAGCGCAATCGCGGCTATATCGGAAACAACGCCGAGTTTCAGAGGCGAAAACGTGACGCTGTCTCGTTATCCGCCTGCGTGTGTGTGCTCTTTCTTTTTTCTCTCCCCCCTCGTGAACGCACACGCTCGCCAAACTCATCTACGAACAAATTGCCTCCGCGTCCTCGTCTCGCCTATACTTACATCGTACGTATATACACAATAATGATAATATGGGCACCCGATGAATGACGGATCGTGCCAACGTGTTGTTGCAACATCCGCGTAACTTATCCCTTAGGTATGCTGTTCTCATTTTGGATGTAATTATATTTGTGCCCCTCTCTCGGCTCAATAATACATGTATGTATTGTTCGTTTGCTCCGATCATTATTATTATTTCGATGAAAGCTCAATTTAACGTAGTCGGATTTTCGAGAAGTCACCGATGTCGAAAAAGTAGACGGGCACTATATATATTTCCGCCCTCCTGCCAAAAAACCTTTTTGGCCGAGAGTGAAAAAGGAAACAAAAAATCCCCGGCCATCCAATTTCAAAAGTGTACATCCCTGTAGGAGAGTATTTATGTATGATTGGTTGATTTCTTTTTTTTTTTTTTTTTTTTTTTTTTTTTTTTTTTTTTTTTTTTTTTTTTTTCGCCTCTGTTGTCCCAGGGCCTCGATGCGGGCACGAGCGACGACAGCGGAAGAGCTTCCGAGCAGTTGCACGGCTCTGGCGTCCCGAGAGACAGCCAGGACGCCGACAGTTCCAGGGACCATCTTAGCGATGTAAGTAATACACCGCGTGTGGGAGATAATAACAAAGGGAGAAAATAATAATCATGTATTGTAGAAAGACGTCTCCATTTTTTTTATTCTTCGTTGTTCACGCTCACTCGTACATCGTATACATAATAACATTATATACCAGAGTCACTCATTGCCGCTTCTCACAACATACATATTTATATTACGTCGCTCGCGCTTGACACGCGTATACTTCATTCGCGTTTACGAGCACCCGAATCTTATTAATTATAAAATTCCACGTGTAAGTTTATCAAAGTTTTTTTTTTTTCCTTCCTTCTCTCGGCAGTGATTTTTATTCACTATGCGAAGCACGCGCAGTGTTTGAGGAAAATAAAAAATAAAAATCATTGTTTCATACGTCGTACGAAATACACAGTTACAGGCCAATTAATTTAATCGTCGTTTTATAACTTGACGTGCATCGATTGCACGTAAACGTGATTTTAATTGCTCTTTTGTTTTGTCTGCGAGAGGAGAGATCGGTATTTCTGTTTTTATACGTCCATATTTTGAACAAACATCTCTTTTGTACACATAATAGCTGTATGAAACAAGTAGATCGGAGTGAAAAAAAAAAAAAAAAAAAAAGAGCACGCATTCATATTTTACAAGTGTCGTCGTTCATTCGCATTCATTTTCATCATTTGTTTTCATTGTAAATATTATAATGTATACATACACACATTGGCATTCATATATTATTATTGTATGACATCAATGATCGATCATTGGCAAAATTTCATTGGGAAATGGCCATTTATCATCATTTAAAACGATACAGAAAAGTCAACGTTTATCCTACGATATTTGACATGATGAAAAAATAATAATAATAATAATAATAATAATAATAATAATAATAATTGACAAGTGAGC